AAAGAAACTTGTACAATCATGACGTTTGATTGTTACTAATTGCGAGAACGGTGCCCCGGACTCTGCCGTGCTGTGAGGAAGTCTGTTGGCGTTCTGGCTGATGTCGGCAAAGGTTATGACCCTCCCAACACCGTCCGTTGCCAGCCGTCTCGTATTCCAAAGCTCGATGAAACAGACGGTCTGGATGGAAGCCGCACAGAATTGACATCAATTGTGGTTTATGTTGCTTAAAGTGGCTACCGGGGTAACTTAACTCACAATAAAAATCAAACTCAGACTCAAACTACCAAACAAACTTAAACAAACAATCATCTACAGCCTCCTGCTCCCGGGGTGTGAGCGTCTGGAACCAGCCATTGTCGCGCAAGTGATCAGGTGGAATCAGAGGCCATCTCACATTGTCTCGGTCAAATCAAAAGCAGTATTTACCAAGCACAAGAGCTGCCTATCACTCTGTCCGCATCACTCACCACTGACAGAGGCTCAGACACTGTTCGGCCATCGACTGGTGCAAGCTCATCCATTTATCGCTGGCTTTCACCATCGTCGACTCAGCCGTCGGCGCAGCATCTGGGTCATCGGATGCCTTGCAATTCTTGGCCGCCTTCCCAATCAACTCAGCGTTCCTGCGATCCAACTCATCATTCAAGATGACCCGGTCATCCTCGAAGATAATGTCAGCCTTATGTCGTCATGCTCGGCAGCAAGCAGCACACACACCAAGCCTACTTGCTCAGAGCATTTTGGACATGCCATCAAGTTGCCAAGGCTAGTCCACACCCAGGCGGTGTTTGCATGGCCACAATCCTACCATGCAACTTGGCCAGTATGTCGTCCTTAGACTCTGCCAACGCAGCTGAATCCCGGAGCCCTACGAAGTAGAGGCGGCATCTCCGCTGGGGAATGCCGTGGAGGCTGGACAACATCTTCTCCACGACAACGTGATAGCCCATGTGCTTGAGGTAGTTGACAGCAACCGTCACATTGTTGGACCTAACGATATTGATATTGACACTGACACTGTCACACACATCACGGCAGCAACTTGCAACTGCAACTAACTGCAGCGGCAACAACAGGTGCTATCAGTTATGAGTAATTGCTTCACGGTAGCCCGCCCTCCTCTTCTTCCGAACCCATGGAGTCCACATTCTCCAAAATGAATGCCATGGGTCGGGAGCGATTCAAGCAAGAGCAAACGCCCTTGAAGGTGTTGACCGATGTGCAGTCCTCAGCATACAAGCACAACACAGGGCTTCAGTGTAACAGTGTATAGTGTGTTTAGTTTAAACAGTCCAGTGGCGGAGTCTTCCGCCATCGCTTGGCGTAACGCCTCAAAGTCACAGTTCATTCTGCTGAATGACCTGGGCTTGGGCAAGTCGCGGTCACGCACTCTGTTATAATGTCCAGCCGCCAATTATTCCACGTGACTTGCAGCTGAACCCAGCGCAAAACAACGAAAAGGTGTGGATATCCTTGTTCCCACACGATTCAATTTCCTTACGTGCAATGCAACAGAATCTCAGTGATGTCACGTCAACATACTCAATAGTTCAAGACTGCAACAGACTGCAACTTGGTTCGAATGATTCAAGCACAGCTACGCAGCGTTTCCCGTGTCGCACGCACCACCTCTCATCATCGTTGTCAATCTTCGTAATGTCGGCGAAGCAGCAGCAGTGCTCCTGTCGAAGCATCCCAGCTTTCGGGTAGTTGTAGTTGTAGTTGTAGTTGTAGTCGTAGTAGTAGTAGTAGTAGTAGTAGTAGTAGAAGTAGAAGTAGTAGTGTAGTACATAGTAGTTAGTAACTAGTATATAGTAAATATAGTATATAGTATATAGTATATAGTATATAGCATATAGTATAGTGTAGCATTACAAATGATGCAAACGCTGGCCTCATGCGCCAGTACGTTGGTCATGAGAAACTTCTGTTTCCAAGGAGTGATCTCACAAGTCCAGTCAGTTTTCACCTCAGGTAGCACTCAACCATGAACATGAACGACAACGGCAATCCTAAGCCAATGACTTTAATAGTATCCCGAGACCCTCCTTAAATTTTACGTGAACTCTATCTAATCTACTTCATTAATACCAAAACCTACACCTCCTCAGTCACAATCCATTCTAAACTTCTTCTAAACCCAAACTTGTAAATTCAAGCCAAACTTAAACAGTA